GCCATCTTTTTTTGCCATCACCGCACGACTACGACGTGAAAATGCCTATTTTCACTTTTTACAGCGGAAGTACACAATTAAGCGACGACGAAATTTCGTCTCTCTCTTTGAACTTGGATATGGTTCTTTAGGAATTCAACTTTTAGGAGGGTTCACCTTTGATAAAGTTAGTGACTTGGAGTAATCGCGATGAAGATTGAAAGAACGCGAATTCACTTTTTCAGCTACGTTTTCGCTGCCGTCGCCATCCTCAGATCTTAAGGTCCCTAACGTTTTCCAATGCACGAGGCAATTCGATAGTGGTCACTTAAGTAGTCGGGTAAGCTTCATTCACTTCGCAGACGTTTCCTTGTTTGTGATTGGTTTATTGGTTTATTAAAACTTGAAATTAATTCATTTGCATCCAATATCTTCCTAAAGAGTATTTTCATAAAACTATGTAAGGTTTGAACCCATGTGTCATTTCAAAAGTAGGTTGAGTTTGATCGTCCGGGTGAACGTAGTCCAACACTCAAACCAACGTCAACTCTGGCCCTGTTACGACAGCGACTATACCGTACATCAGAGGCACCTCTGAAACTATCGCACGTATACTACAACCTTGCAATATAAGTGTTGCACACAAACCGATAACCACTTTACGACGACTACTTACTAATGTTAAGGACAAAGACAGTAGAGAAGTATACAAGATCAAATGCTGGAACCGACAGAAACCTTAGCACGCGAATGACCGAAAACAAATGAGCGACGAGAAATGGTGGCGTCAACAATCACATTGCTGAACACCATTTACAGACGGAACATCAAATCGACTGGGACTTTGCAACATGTATTACGTATTCTACAGACTACTATCAACGACTCACTTTAGAAAGCTGGTTTACCAAATTAAAACAAACGCCACTGAATCGTAGTCAACAGTTACCGGCACCGAAAAAAGGACTTATTGACAAAATCAAGCACAACTTACTACGAGAAAACGGCTGGACAAGTGACAATTTGCCTAACAATAGACGGATCGAAACGCACCAATAACATTACGAGTCTTCATAGCCAATAATATCACGGCTTAACTGAAAGACGACCAATAACATCGCGACGTAATTGACCAATCAGGGCCAGAGTATAATACCATCAACTGGCGTGATACAACTCATTTTGACTCTGAAGATGACTTCCGCTATGCCTAGGTACAGTGATCCGGATATTTTTAAAGACATTTAGAAGATTTGGCGATATTTAGAAAATGTCATGACATTTAGAAAAAAAATGGGATATTTAGAATTTTGTTACGAAAAAAGTACTGAAATCATGTTTTTTCTAAGAAGCTACTTCAATGCTAATTAGGGCATGGGCATTTCAGTGACAGAAATTCAAACAAATCTCCACATATGGGCCTGTTGTAATCAGATTCAGCAATATTCTCCATTTTTAATATATGCAATGTGGCTAATGTTCAACAAATGGCTGAGGACGTACCCTTTAAGCCACGCCCAAACCAAACGGCAGTGTCCCTTTTAGACCACTTAAGACCTCCAGCACCTAATGTTCTTTCACGGTCTAAGCCCGTATTAAAGTGCAGTACCCTAGTCTTCTTGAAGGCTGAGGGGTGCTGTAAATAAGGCTGAATTTATATGAAATTGCTTAGAGTTTTGTAGTATGCTGTACCACGATATAATTTCCTAAAATTTGCTGAAATTTCTGTCGCAATTTTAGATGAGCGGCTTGTTTTGTTGTTTATACTGTTAAGTAATATTTATGAAATGAAGCCAGATATTTTTGAGATATTTAGAAGTTTTTCGAGATATTTAGAAAAACAATTGGGAAACTTCCGGAAACATATTTAGGCAATTTTCGTGATATTTGTATCTAGGCCTAACTACCGCACAGGTTGTCGAAGCGTCAGTCACTGTCAACAAGAACAGTGTTATTCAGGAATACGTTCACCCGGACGATCAAACTCAACCGACTTTTGAGTATTTCCATAATAAGGTCTCATTTTATGAAGATATAGTGCAGTTATTCTTAGCCTTGAAAATAACTTTACTTTATTCCTAATTCAACAAAGGCTTCGTACTCTCTTATAAGAATGATGGTAACTTAGAATTTGAAAAACCATCTATGCTAATGGAAATTCTTATCATAATGTCGAAAATGATTTTTCTTGTACATGCACATCAATCATCCGAGAGTTTCGTTTCTTTTCCAACTTAAAAACTTTAATAGCGTTGATAAAAGAGTGCGACAACTTGTTTTCTAACAAAAATGCGATGGCCTGTCATTACAGGGTGCAAAAGCTAAGTTCATTACCACGCGTGACAGTTTTATTGCAAAGTGCGAGAGAATAGCATCTTTTCGAAATATTTTGTATTAAAAACCCTTTTAGACCTTGGTTTAGTGAAGATATTAGGGATTCCAGGAGAGAAAGCCGGAGAGCTGAAAGAAAATGGCGTCGATCTCGATGTGTCCGTGATTTGCTTGAATTTAAAAAGAAGAGGAACTTTACAACCTACCTGATGAATGAAGCCCGTCGTAAGTCTTACTCAGACTTTATTGTTGAAAATAACTCCAATCAAAGGAGCCTATTCTCGACAACAAAGAGGTTGCTAAATCAAGGTCATGAAGTACCTTTTCCACCAACTAGTGACAAGCTGGTTTTATCCAATGAAATGGGTAGCTTCTTTGTTGAAAAGATTGACGCCGTCCATGTCAAATTGGACAGACTAGCTGATTGTTTGTATGATTCCCATTTTGACTGTGTGAAAACGTTACCAACTAGAACACTGGAAAGCTTTATCCCTTTAACTGAAAGTGCAGTTAGTAAGTTGATTGGCTGCTCTCCGAAGAAGAGCTGTATGTTTGATCCGATGTCAACACCTTTAGTAATCAGCTGTGCTGATGTGCTATTACCAGCCATTACTAAAATGATCAACCTGTCTCTTAATTTTGGAGAATTTGCTGATGATTGGAAATGTGGGCTTATTAATCCTATCTTGAAGAAACCTGGATTGGATTTGCTGTACAAAAATTATAGACCAGTTAATAACTTACAATACGTATCCAAGTTGACTGAAAAAGTCGTTTTTATTCAAGTTTACGATCACATGGTCTCAAATGCTATTTTTCCTGCCCTTCAATCTTGTTATAGGCAATTCCATAGCACTGAAACGGAACTTATCAAAGTGATGAACGATATTTTGTTAAAGATGAACTCTCAACATGTCACTTTGTTAATTTTATTGGATCTCAGTGCTGCCTTTGACACTGTTTATCATGGAATACTTTTAGAGAGGCTATCTGACGAGGTTGGCATACGTTGGACTTGCTCTGAATTGGTTTAGATCGTACTTGTCTGATAGAAGTCAGCGCGTTTCTGTACATGGAGTTCTCTCTCGTCCTTTTGACTTGAACTGCGGGGTACCCCAAGGCTCATGTTTAGGGCCTTTGCTATTCATAATTTATGCGTCTAAGCTGTTTAAGATCGTGGAACATTATCTTCCCGATGCTCACTGTTTCGCAGATGATACGCAGCTGTATCTGAGTTTTAAACCACTCGGCGACACTACTCAAGTTGATGCTATACAAGCTATGGAAAAGTGCATTGACTCGGTGAGTAAGTGGATGATTCAAGATCGGTTGATGATCAATGATGATAAAACGGAGGTTTTGTTGGTCGGCACACGACAACAGCTTGATAAACTACATTCGTGTTCCATTACTGTGGGCAATAATCGTATCAGTCCAAGCCCATGTGTTAAAAACCTTGGCTCGTGGTTTGACAGCAACTTAAGCATGACTGATCATATAAACAAGGCTTGTACTGCGGCATTTTATCATTTACATAACTTGAGACGTATTAAGAAATACCGGTCGAGAGATTCTTTAACTACTTTGGTTCATGCTTTTATAACCAGCCGTTGTAATGGTTTATCGTTTGGCTTACCAAAGGCAGAGATCGCTAAATTACAGCGTGTACAAAATGCAGCAGCAAGACTTATTCTTGGCATCGGAAAATTTTCTCACATTACAGCGGCGCTTTATGAGCTGCACTGACTGCCGGTTTCTTTGCCTATTGACTATAAGATTTTACTTTTGACTTTCAAATGTATTTATGGCCTAGCGCCAACTTATCTTAGCGATCTTATTAGTATAAAATCGAATTCATTATATAACCTTAAGTCTACTGGTAAGCTCTTATTGGACCATCTCAAGGGAAACATGCTTACAACATTGGGAGCATGATCATTCTCAGCAGCAGCTCCGAAACTCTGGACTGGCCTGCCTGTGGAGCCTCGTCAAGCAACATCACTTATTTTTTTAAAATTTCGACTTAAAAGGTATCTTTTTAAGAAGTATTTTTGTAGTTTGTAACTAAGGTTATTTTATTCTCACGGTAATGTATTTTCGTTTTCTCTTAAACATATGATTGTAAAGCGCTTTTGATCAGCATATGTAAATACGCGCTATATAAATTCGTAGATTATTATATTATTAGTAAAATCCAACTAGTGGTCTATTATCAATGCTGCGTTCTGATTGGTTGAGCTACTACTAGGCTATATGTTATAGTCCACTAGTAGCGAAAAGCGGCGGCTTTCTGGCGGCAAAAAAGGATTCAAGCCTAGCTTAAAGTAGGTAAATTTTTTTGTATTCTCGATATTTTTGACCAACTAGTTGGATTTTACTAAAACAATTATTCCTCTCGCCCTTATGGCCCCTGAGTCAATAGCCCATTCGACCTTCGTTTGGGCTATTGACTCAGAGCCCATTCGGGCTCGAGGACTAATTGCTAATTATTAGTAGTAGTAAAACTATTTCTTTTTTCAAAGCACTTTCGTCTACTCTTCGTTTTAAACTTGTTAGGTCTTCATTGTATCACCTCAAAAGGCCTTGAACTTGTCTAACATTGACATCTTGTTTTCCACATTTGTTTTTACATAGTTTAAAGCTCGGTCACCGCTAAAATTTGGTGGATTATCGAACGTTCGATTCTGTCTTCAGCTGCAACGACCACAAGTAAAGATCAAACTTATCTTTTTCAAAATAGTTTTGTATTCTTGTCTGAAGCGCCTATTGGTAGCGCCATATATAAAGGGGTTGATTGTACTACTTAGGTAGGCCAGAAACCCGTAAGTAAGATATACCTGTCGTGGAAAAGTGGACTCCCCGCGTGCTGCGTCGATGTAATCCATAATACAGATAGGAAGCCAACATAAGGAGAAACTGGCCATGACCAAGGCTAATGTCTTGGTCACTTTGGCTTCTTCGACGTTTGCTCTGAGCTGTTCAGGGTTATTTTCTTGCATGAAAACACGATTTGATCTTGACACTGTGTAGAACACTTTGGCGTAGCAGAAAGTGATGAATGTAAAGGGCGCAGCGACAAACACACATTCGATGAAGACGGTATAAGCAATGTTAGTTTGGAATGGGTACATGCACATTGCTTTTCCTGGGTGGAAAGTGTATCCGCCTGTCTGAAAAATTAGCGGAGGCACTGAACCAATGAGAGCCATACACCATACTACCGCAGTGTACATCAAAATTCTTTGCCTCCGGAATAATACAATGTACCTCGTTGGTTTCACCACGCAAAAATATCGGCTAACTGCAATAACCCCCATGGTATTTAGAGATGCCAATGAAAACGTAAACATTGCAGCACCCTGGAGTCGACAAACACTGGTCCCGAAAATCCATCGGCCTTGAACGAGAGTAGCAACTGACAGAGGCATACAGCTGACAGATATAAGTAAATCACTGACAGCTAGCGCTACAATAAACATATTGGCAAGCGAACGAAGTCTCTGGTTTCTATACACGGCGTAGCAAACAGAAATGTTTCCGGAGATGGCCATTGTATTGACGATAGCTAGGAAAATTGCTTCAATCCAGACTAGATACTGTGCTCTTTTGAGGAGCTCGCTGGAATACAGATGTTCCATAATACGAGGCTGATTCAAACGAACTCGTAGAAAGTATGCAGCGAAATCTTGAGAAGATCTTTGTAATAATTTGAACTCTACTGTTTTCAACGTTTAAGGGAAGTAGCCTTCTATACTGGATCAGGTGTTCGTGTCATTAATGAAAAATGTCAAATCATTAGTTATTCATATTAACACCAAGTTTGAAGTTAATTTGAATTCATTGTTTACAGCTAACCAAGACTTAAACAGCTGCCCCCCCCCCCAAAAAGAGCTATCCTAGTAGCCAAGAGTGTCTACCTCTCCGTTGGTTAGGGGTAAAATAGGGCGCTTAAGAGCGGCTGTCTGTAAATATCTAGAATTTGCCGTCAAAACTGAAATTTCGAAATACTTCATTTTCAGTCAGGAAAACCCCTTTGGTGAGATATTTTCGAAAATGACAATCAAAGTTTCCAAAGAATTTTGTTTTTCTAGAAGACCGCCAAAAAGTGAAATGCTGCCCCACGTCATATAGTCGCCGGTCTAAAACCTTTGAATTTTACCATTTTCAAAGCCCTCGGGAAGAAAGGCGGTTGAAGGAAACAAGTTCAACTTTGGCAGGTAAGTAAGGTATCCCAATTACAATACTATTTGGTAAAAATATTGCAAGATAATAAATTTTTACTCGGTTAAAAACGCCCGAAGATTCCTATCTTCAGCACTTTCATGAACAATGAAATTTTGCGAAACTTTAACGGAAAAAATCACGGCTTGGTACATGAAATTTGTAATATTTAAGTCATGAAACTACAGCACGAAACGAACCATGTGCTAGTCCTCCATGGTTAATGTACTGCGCAAGTGCAAAATAAAAGGAGCCTGGAACCTAATATATTACACTCCTCCCGAATAAATGGGTTGGTTAGCATAACAACAGCAACAAGAAAATGCACGTCTAACAGATAACCAATGTTCAGCGTTCGTTATCTTCTTAAACAATGTTCACATTCCACATATGAGTCTGCGTGGTGGTCTCCTCTCCCGACTTGGGTACCTCAGTGCTGGGTGCGGTGACAATGGTGTCCCTGAGGGACTTGCTCCCTCCAAAGCGTCTCCCAATGATGATTCTGGTGTCACCTCAGTTGTGTCCTGTTCTTCTACGTCACCGGCATCCGGAACTCCTCCTGCCTCGGATGTATTAACCGGTGGTTCAGAAGGACTCCACTCTCCACTCTTCACTTCGGCTTGGGAACTTAGGAAGTTTCGTGCCTAATTACTATCTTCCTCTCCCTCGCAAGAGCTTGAAGACTGGATCCAGCGATCACTCTTCAAATGACCCACATGAACAAAATCGTATTTGATGCTCACGGCGAACTAGGTAAGTGCACGGACCTTTCATCTGAGTGATTCTTCCAGGGATCCACCTTTCAACGCCACGCCGCCAATTACGAACCAAGACCACTTCAATCAACTTGAACTCTCGGAGTTTCACTCGTCCTTCATCGTGGTGCTCTTTCTGCTTCAACTGTTGCTCCTCCACGGCTCTGTTAAGGTTCGGTTTCGGTAATGTGAAACAGTTCCTAATCTGTCGTCCCAAAAACAGCTCAGCGGGAGACTGCCCATCGACAGTGTGACGTGTACTACTATTAAAAATAAGAACGTTGGCCAGCCTATGCTCCAGACTGAGTCAATTTGCTTTGCCTTCCAGCACGTGCTTGGTCAAAAACGTCTTGGCGGTCCACGGTACAGAACGTTCAGCAGCTCCATTAGAAGCAGGATGGTACGGTGGAACCCGGGTAAACTTGACTCCATTCTGCTTCAAGAATTGAGAGAACTCTTCCGATGCTAGCTGCGGCCCGTTGTCCGAAACCAGCTCTTCCGGTATTCCGTAGCGTGCAAACAACGAGCGCAAAACCTCGATGGTTTTCAAGCTCGTTATGGAAACCATGGGAATCACCTCCAACCACTTGGAATAGGCATCAACAACAATCAAGAAATTCAACTTGCCCTTCTCAAAGAAATCAATGTGGATACGCTGCCATGGCTTAGCAGGCCATTTCCAAGGGTATAATAGTGCCCTTGGAGGGGACTTGTCCAAGGCAGCACAAACATGACATTGCTGAACCCTTTCAACAATAGCAGCATCCAATCCCGGCCACCAAAAATAACCCCTCGCCAGCGACTTCATCCGGCAGATTCCGTGATGCTCTTGGTGCAAGTCATCCAACAGACGAACACGATACTTCACAGGAATAACCAAACGTAAGCCCACAACACACAGCCTCGGTCAACAGATAGTTCTTACTTTCGTGAAAAGAAAGGCTGTAACACTGGATCATCGAGCGCTTGGGGCCATCCATGCAAAGTGAAGTCGTACACACGAGCTAAAACCAGGTCTTTTCTAGTTGCAGCCGCAATGTCGCGGGCTGTAACTGGAAGTTCTTCCAGGTAACTGATCAAATACACCTCTTCCTCCTCCCCTTGCTCTTCTAAACATGCCGGTACCAGTCTTGACAAAGCATCTGCATTTGCATGTTCAGCAGACTTCCTATACTCAATTTCATACTGATAAGCTGCTAACATCAAAGACCACCTTTGCATTCTTGCTGCGGCCAGCGGAGGTACACCAGTCTTCGGCCCAAGAATTGTGACCAGCGGCTGATGATCTGTAAGCAATGTAAACCTCCGACCATACAGATACGAATGGAACCTTTTCACTCCAAACACGATGGATAAGGCCTCTTTCTCTATTTGGGAATAGTTACGCTCACTAGCTGTGAGAGTTCGAGATGCAAAAGGCTTTTCCTCGCCGTTCTTCATAACATGGGAGATAACCGCTCCTACCCCATAGGGTGATGCATCACAGGCCAGCCGAAGTGACTTCTTCAGATCATAATGGACCAGCAAAGGAGAATCTTGTAACTGCTTCTTACTCTTCACAAACACTCTCTCGCACGCCTCCGTCCTCTTCCAAGGTCTATCCTTTTGCAAAAGGTCATGAAGAGGATGCAGTGTAGTCGCCAGATTGGGCAGGAACTTGCCATAATAGTTAAGCAGTCCCAGATACGACTTCAACTCTGTGACATTGGTAGGACTCTTGGCTTGCATGACTGCATCCATCTTCTGAGGGAGGGGACTAATGTCATTCTTGTCAATCCAGTGTCCAAGAGGCCCGACTGGAAAAAAATGCACTTCGCCGGATTCAACCTGATGCCATGTTCTTGTAAGCACCCGAAAACTTCCTCCAGGATTGCCAAATGTTCCCCAGGGGAACCCCCTGAAATCAGGATTTCATCCAAATGGCAAACTGTGAACTTAACCCCCTGCAGAAGCTGATCCATAATCCTTTGAAAAATAGCTGGTGCACTGGAGACTCCAAACGGCAGTCGTTTGTAACGGTACAAACCCTTGTGTGTGTTAATTGTTAGGTACTTCTGTGAGTCTTCATCCAGCTCTACCTGCTGATAGGTGTGAGATAAGTCAATCTTGCTAAATACTTGTCCCCCAGCTAACGTCGCGAACAAATTTTCTGTATTAGGCAAAGGGTACTGGTCGACATCGGCACATTGGTTCATTGTCATCTTGCAGTCGCCGCACATTCTCAGTGAACCATCTTTCTTGGGGACCAACACCACTGGTGTGCCCAGTCACTTTCACTTACTTTGTAGATAATCCCTTCATCCTCCAGTCTCTGAAGCTCCTGCTCCACCTTTTCTTTGAGAGCATATGGAACGGGTCTTGCTTTCAGAAATTGGGGCTGTGCACCTTCACTGACCTGAATGGAGGCATGGAGGCTTTATACAGTTTGATGTGTCCATACCCCTTTTCAAACAGGGCCTCACACTTAACAAGGATATTCTCCACAGTAGGCACATGAGACACCTTGAAGATGGCGGACCAATCCAGGTTCAATTTCTCAAGCCAGTCACGCCCAAGCAACACAGGCTTTTTTCCTTGAGCGACCACCAGAGGTAGTTGCATTTCCTGGGTCTGATACTTCACAGCGACTCGAATTTACCCCAACAAGGATAATGACTCACCAGAATAGGTTTTCAAGTGGAACTGCGTTGGCTGCAACTTGAGATGCTTAAACCACTTCTTATACTCCACCTTAGAGACTATGGACACAGCTGATCCCGTGTCAACTTCCATGCTGACTGGCTTACCCTCTAACAACAAATGAACTTGAAACCTGATCCACCTTGTCCTTTAGACTTGAGAGTGTACAATCCCAGTCCAGACTGCTCTTCGGTAGTACTCATAGGTGAATCAACCTCCAAATAACGCGTGGATTGTATCTTCCCTTTCTTATCGCACATCTTAGCAAGGTCACCCTTATTGTGACACTTGTAACATTGTACCGACCTGGCCCAGCATCCTGATGGAGAATGCTTACCACCACAACGAAAACAACTGACGGCGTCTCCAGTCGAATGCCCTGAAATGGTATACCTGCCGACCTTATTCACGGTATCGTCCACTGGTACACTGGTGTCTCGAAAATCTTCTTTGTTGGCTAACTCCATGGATTGTGCTATTTCAAACGCTTTCTTAAGAGTCAAGTATCTCTCTGCCAACAGCTTCTTCTGAATTTGCACGCTTTTCAATCCACAAACGAGACGGTCCCGTAACGCTTCTTCCAAAAAGGTTCCAAATTCAGACTTCAACGCCAGTCGCTTCAACTCAACTACAAACTGTGAGACCGTTTCATTCTCATGCTGGTTCCGACGATGACATTTATAACGTTCTGCGATCAAAATAGGTTTAGGCGAGTAATGTGAAACCAAAAGCCCTTTCAACTCATCGAAAGACTTATCTTTCGGAAGTTCAGGGGCTAACAAATTCCTCCGCACGCATCCTGCCCCAATTAACGCTAGAAACGTAGCAGCTTCGTAATCCGCTTCGACGTAATTCGCCGCAAAATACAATTCCACTCGTTCTATATAACAGCCAGTATCTTCTTTTCCGTCGAGATATTCTCCTACTTGCCCCACGAGCTCCATCCTCGTCGCCAAATGTAATATTTAAGTCAGGAAATTACA